TATATATATATTCCCCTCCCTGAGTGAGCTCCAACCTCCAGTCTTCCAGTGAGCATCTAAGAGTGTTAGCCATTCGAACCATCCGTGGACTCCCTGGTGTACATGAGCTGTAGCTTCAATCCCCTGGTTTTGAGCTTCTAACCTTGTCTGTGAGGTAGCTATGAAAGCAAGGCTTTCAGGCAGCCATTCGAGAGCCTTTCCTCCACAGTCGTGCGCAAGCTCGGCCGTCTGGGCTGTGTTTCCCCACGGCGTTTGCAGCATAGAACTGCCACCCAGAATGAAGCATCCAACAGAGGTTGATATTTTGACCTGACCCAGAATGTCAATCACACGCTGCTCTAACGAGACCTTAAACCAGGGTCTGTGATCACCTAAATCCTTGACCCTGTATTTCAAGTGAAATGGTGTGCAAATGTTCAGTATCCAAAATAAACGGGACATCAGCCTGCCTTTTGGCATTAACCAACTCATTAAATATAAAATAAACACAAGTAAATGGCTTTTAAATCTCACGGACAGAAAGCTTGGCAACTACTCCAAGACTCTAGAGGTCATTGGAAACTCCGCCTTCAAGCAGGAATCCTCCTCGCGCTTCGAAGGTCAGAGGGATCCCTGTGATGGTGTCATACTGCCCTCTTTTGTCGGAGGGTGGTTCTGCAATGCCAGCTTCCCGCAGGGGCTGGCCACTGAGAACAAGGGTTGTATTAGTCTGTCACATAGATTGTGCGCTGGGGAAGCTGCTGTTACTGCTTATAAAACCGAAGTCCAAACTCACTGCCATTGAGTCAAGTCTTTTGGGTTTTCAGAACTGTACATCTTTTACGGGAGGAGAGAGCCTCTCCTTTCTCCCACGCAATAGTTGGTAGTTTCAAATTGTTGGTCTTGAAATACCTAAGTCACTATGCCACCATGGTTCCCTTTCCCTGCTGACAAGGAAGTAGATGTTTGGGGCTCAGACAGTCGGCTTGCCGCTGACCACAAATATCTAGGAAAAGCCAGGAAACAAAAATTGGCCAATTTCTCTGACGTGGATCATCAATAGCCATGCGCAATCGTAAAAAATCAAACAGTGCCACCTTAGGCAAATCTGCTGCAAAACGTCTCTTGAATGTCCTAAAATGCAAGGAGGTCACTGCGCTGTCTGAGGTGTGTCCAAACCGCTTCCAGGGTCCAGGAAACCCGATGAAACCATTCCCCTTTCAAAGTCTGACTTCCTGCACCTACTCAACATGGTGTCCACTTATTTTCAGCTTCTGAAAGATTTAGTCCACTCCCAATGCAGTAAAACCGTTTCAGTGAGAGATATACTTCATCTTAAGTTAGAATTCCATCAGCAGACCAGTGAGATGTTTTCTCAATGAATTTACATACTTTCTTTACACCTTTTAGAGATTTTTAGTGATTCAGCTCAAATCATGAAATGGCATTTTGTTCCTTCATCCAGAGACTTAAGAATGTTTCCACCCAGATTTTAGGTGCGCCATGCCATCCTGGTTGACGAGTCCCGCAAGGAGCTGGAACGTTCTGTGACAGCACCGTTGCTATCCTGAGCACTTTTAGGAAACAATCGCCGGAGGCCGAGAAAGGACGAGCACCTGCAGGGCCGGCTCCCTCCTTCAAAAGCATTCCCAGGATCCAAGGGAACCAGCAACAGGTTGCCAACGAGTCCACTCGATTCAGGTGCGCCCCAGGGTTTCCAAGGAGTGATTTTTCCGAAGTAGCCCTCCAGGCCTTTGTTTCTCAGGTGTCTCTGACCCTCCAGGATGTCACTCAGGTGGTACCTGAGTGCATGAACCCTTTGCACCACCCAGGGACTCCTCTTTTCAGGTTAGAAAAGAGAAACACTCACACACACGGGCATTTTTTCCCCCAATCTTTTTTTTAATTATTATTAAATCATTTGATTGGGGGCTCGTACAACTCTTATTACAATCCATCCATCCATCCATTGTGTCAAGCGCATTTGTACATTTGTTGCCATCATCATTCTCAAAACATTTGCTTTCTACTTGAGCCCTTGATATCAGTTCCTCATTTTCTTCCTCCCAGCTCCTTTCTCCCTCGTGAACCCTGGATAATTTATAAATTTTTATTTTGTCATATCTTACACTGCCCGATGTCTCCATTCACCCACTTTTCTGTTGTCCATCCCCCAGGAAGGAGGTTATATGCAGATCCCTGCAATCGGTTCCCCCTTTCCCTAGCATGAGCTGCACTGTAATTCAACACCACTAGGTGGCATCTTCTCTTCTCAGGGATAGTTGGTTTTGCTCCTGGTCAGAAGGGAAGGAGAGGTTCGCAGCTCATCCACTCCTCTAAAGAGTTACATTCTCGGAAATCCGCAGTAGCCGTTCTACCCTGTCCTATAGGGCCCCGATGAGTCTAAATCAGTGCAATGGCTGTGAATGTTTTGAGTTTGTTTGTTTTCTTAATTAAGAAAGGCACCATATAGTCCCTAGAAAACACCACGCAGCATCTCAGACAACAGCAAGTCACTTTCTCTTGCTGGTGCCCTCACTGGCTCATGAGTATTTAGAAAGCTTGTGAATCGCCAGGGAATGCAGTGGATGTTTTCCTTCAAAGCCAGGGGGCTGTGCTTGTCTTATTTTCCACACGGACCCTGTGGGAGAGTGGCAGCAACGCTGCCCTTGATGGAGCACTGATTCTCGACCCTGCCATCTCTGCCGTCCTAAGCTAGTGAGCTACGAGGATCCATCAAGTCCTGATGGAAAATGTCTGAGAAGCCATCGTTCCAGACCCAAGGGGAGCTATGAAAAATGGACATCTTAAGTGTTTTCTGTCAAGTTCTTTAAGCTCCTTTAAAAGCTACCAGAGGGGCTTGACAAGAGACCGTGAATAATGAAACGGCCTTCCGGCCCTGTGATTTCACTGGCATGGGAGGAATGAAGCATTCTAGAACATTCTTCTGGTCTTCCCTTCCTCTCTCCCTCTTTCTCTCCTCTTCTTTTTCTCCCCGGGTGGTAACGAAGCAATGGAGACGAGTGTTCTGGGGAGGTGAGTGGAGAGGAAGAAGCAGAACTATGTCACAATCATAGTTTAACGAAGGTTTTCAGAATCCTGTCTTGTTGCTTGGGTGACTTGTTGAAGTCGCTAGGTTATCAAGATTGTGTGCATTGGGATACGGGAAGCGGGGAGACACAAAATCTCAGATCTGAAGGAAATGCCGAGGGGCAGTCCTGGGGCACTGAAGGCCCAGTGTGGTCATCTTTCAGGACATTTTCTAAAAGCATCTGCTTCCCCAAGATGTAGTGTTCGTTACTGGCCCAGCAGGTACACCGGGTCTCCTACTTTGATGATCCCAGGGTTTTCGAGAACAAAATACTGCCCAAAGAGAGGTGATTTCCCATATAACTCTTTTTCAGAAGGGTCACACAGGCGGTAGCTGCAATTAGAAAATAAGGGAATACAATTAGAGACCATGAGTCACAGCCAAACGGTGTTCAAACTGCGTATGGTTTCCCCTTGGCTGAGTCCCCCCACCCCCCCACACCCACACCCACACACATCATTGCTCAGCTCTGGATCAGTGCCACCAGTAGAGTCCAGGAGAACCTTACACCTGGCGTTGCACAGGGAGCAGCCTGCCTGGTGCACAAACTGCAGAAGTCTAACCACGAGCATTGGCAGCATCCTCTGTCTAGGTCAGTTTGCCCTTTCTTTTCTGTACAAATTAGGAGAGTTTCCTAAGTTGTCACTGTTGAGTCAGTTCTAGATTATAGCGACACGGGTGTCCGTGGAACCATGGCTGGGCTTCCAGGCTCTTCTTCTAGGCTCCTCTGGGTGGACTTGAGCCGCCAAACCTTCAATTAGCAGCCAGGGGTGCTATCTGTTCATACCACCCAGGAACGCCATGAAGAGGTGGCCCAAACATTTTAAACTCAAATTAACAACCCATTCAAGAAGAAAGAAAATGTTTAGAAACTGATGATGGTAGCAATTGTAAAATTACACTCGATCAAACTGAATTATGGGTGGTTATAATATCTGTAAAAGCTCCTGATAAAAGGATTAATCATTTTAAAAAATGAATGATGATCACTCAATGATCCTGGTGTGCCAGAGTCAAACGGGACTCCAGAGGGTTTTCTCCACTGGTATCTTTTTGGAAACATACCGCCAGGTCTTTCTCCTGCGGCACCACTGCCTATTAGTTACTCGTATATTTATTTATATCCTGCACCATCCTTCGCCCTCCACTCCTCCATGTCTCTCGTGTTTTCTTCTCGTCACTTGAGCTTGGAGTTCTGGAGCAATCCTTTACACTTCATCCCTCATTTCTCATGACTGAGCCACTGCCATCGTGTCGATGCCGACGCCTAGCAGCACTTCCCCTGTGGGGTCCTGAGACTACAGCCCTTGCTGGGAGTAGAACCCTCCATCTTTCTGCTGTGGTTCGCTGGTGGTTCCCTATTGCTGGCCTTGAGGTTAACCGCCCATTCATCACCCACTACGCCACCAGAGCTCCTCTTTCACAAACAGTAGGTGCGAAATCCTCTAGGTTGTTCTTGCAGAGGTTTTGCATTGATATGCTTGGCCCCAAGCCCACGGTCAAGTCTTGTTTCAACCATGCTCAGGCTATTGTAATCATTCCCTACCTGGTCTCTGGCCCTCGCTCTCGCCCTTTTACTTAATTCTGTTCGGGCCTTATCGCTCAGAGGCTCAGAAGCTTGCATTGGCTCCCCAGTGCCCAAAAACCAACAATCCAATTCTTCAGCTTGGTGGGCAAGGCTCTGTACCTGGCCCCAACCAATTTGTCCAAGCCTGTCACCCTCTACTCCTTAATTGAACACACACAGCACTTTGTGACAACCCCCAGAGTCCTGCCACCTGGCTTTGCAGCTGGCTTTGTGGGTTCTCGGCAGCACCTGTAGGGCATGCCCCTCTGACTTTCTGAGCATTCCGATCCTACTTTGTCCTCAAATCCCACCAGAGATGCCATGCCACCCCCTCCTCAATATCTTGTCCCCTCACATGTCTTATTCCGAAGGGTCAGGGTGCTCATCTTATCTCTTCTCAGATGGCAGCTACTGGAGGGCAGGAACTGCCCCTGACCCCTTGGTACTGCTCACACGCAATGCCAGGCCTCATAGGTCACCAATGACCCATGAGGGATTGTGAGGGGGTAGAACTCCATTTCACCAGCAGTGTGGCTATCTTGTGAAGGCAGAAGGTGTGCAAGCCTACTATGCATGCCCCAAAGCAGATGTGTGTGCCCGCACAGCAAGAGCCACCTCCTCCAGCGAAGACGTCTCTTTCTGTTTCTCATCACACTTTTGCAAACACATGGAGCCCCAAGATTGCTTTCATTCGACCTTGCTTTAAAAATAGGAAAGCAGAGATCGCCAATAGCTGAATTCCAAAGTTGCTCTCCAAATCAGAAACCCTAACAGAGACTACGTAATCCACTGCCATCAACTCAATTCTGACTCACAGTGACCCTGTAGGACAGGGCTGAACCTCCCTGAGGATTTCAGAGACTAAATCGTTAACTGGAATAGGAAGCCTGGTCTTTTCCCCAGTGCTGCCTCTCCAGGGTTGTGGAAAAACCAAATGAGATCACTCATGGCCTCTCGTGGGAATAAAGAGTTATTACAAAACATCAAGCACGGATCACCAGACTGAAAACAGACAGTATTGCCTGATACAAGGAAGGATCTTCTGTGACTTTTGTCCAGTCTATATATTTCTGTGGATATTCATCAATTCCACACTCACTGAGAAGTTCAATACTCTGTGCATATTCTCTTGTAATGAATAAAAGACATACACAAACCCAGTTCTGAGACCTTGGGGTAAGAATTAAAGAAAGAGCCCTGAGAGAGCGCCAAGGAGAAGTGCTGATCCAGCCATCATAGAGCCCAGCCCATGGAGCGGCTGGTGGGCTTGAACTGCTGATCTTGTGGTTAGCATCCCCAAGTGTAGCCCACCACACAACCACCAGACCTGTTTCCTTTGTAGTGTTTTACAATTTCACTAGCATCATGCATGTGTCTGGAGCCCTGGCGGTGCAGTGGGTTATATGCATGGGGTTGCTAATCACAAAGTCAGCAGTTCAAAACCACCAGCCGCTCCTTAGAAGAAAGATGAGGCTTTCTATTTCCATAAAGAGTTACAGTCTCAGAAACCCATAGGGGAAGTTCTACCCTGCCCTATAGTGTCCCTATGAGTCAGAATCTTCCTGATGACAGAAAGTGTGTGTTTTTAAAAATTAATCCCAGGAAGGACATACAAGGTCTGGTATAAATCCCAAACCAAAGCAAGCCTCTGCTACGGATCCCAAGTCACAGCAACCCTCTAGGACAGAGTGGCACTGCTCACTAGGGTTATCAAGGTTTTACTGGAGCAGGAAACCTCACCTTTCTCCCATGGAGTGACTGGTGGGTTCAAACTGCCAGCCTTTTGCTTAGCAGCTCAACCAATTACTTCATCAGGGCTCAGTCCAGCATAAAAGGCCTACGGCAAATTGTTCTTCTTGTCAACAATATTCACACCTCCACCCAAATTTTTTATTGACCATCTAAAGGAATTTCTACAGAGACCACTCCTGCTCCTAGCCCCACTTCACGAATTACAGCAGAACTGTGCTCTGGAGGGTTTTCAGAGGCTGATTTTCAGGAATTAGATGGCCAGGCCTTTCCTCTGAGGCTCGTTTAAACCTTCCAGGTAGCAGCTGAGCACAGCAACTGTTTACAGAGCCTAGGGACTCCACTGAGTATCAGCAACTGTTTACAGAGCCCAGGGACTCCACTGAGTAGCTACAAAGCAAATTTCCTCTCATTTCTCTATTGGGAGCCATACGTTAAAGCCCCAGTGTGAGATTCCACCAGTCCCGAGACTGCCAGGATCCCTGAGGCAGCCACTCTCCCTTAAGAAAGAGAAGAGCAATCACATCACCCTGTTCTCCTGTTAGCAGACAGACCCCACTGGATGCTGCTGTGAGTCTCTGGCAATGGCTCATGATTCCTTCCCCTGTACCTAGAGGAGCGAGATGTAGGCCATTAATTTAGCCCTGCTAGCCACTCTTCCTTAGGCCATGTGTTACAACCCTGGACCCTCTGCCTGTGCCCACGATCCCATTTTGCAGGGTGTTCTCTGCTACAGGATTAGGGTGGGAGGTAGCTTTAGACGCTGCTAGAGGGTGTGACTGACGTCACCACCCTTTGCTTCCTTGGAGGTCTGGTCTGCTAAAAGACGAAACCCAGCCTCCATCAGAGCCGTTCCTCTGCATACAAGGGCCGTTTCAGACAGAGAGAGAAAGCCCAGGGCCATCAGAAGAGCACGTTCCAGATCTGTCTGAAGGGGCGGAGGCCGAGACCAGAGGCACCAGAGACTGTGGCACGTGGACTATAGGCCAGAGCAAGAGGAGCAGCACCGAGACTGTGGGACTGTGAGCCTGAGAGGCAGGTGGCTTCCTGGTCCACGGAGGCAGAGGCCAAGGCATCACATGGCTGAGAGACTGAGGAACAGACAAAGACTTGGCTGCTGCTTGAGGAGGTGATGCTGTGGATTAATGACTGCGTCCTTACTGTTTCCTGATTGGTAACTTGCTAACTCCCCAAATAAATCCCCTTAATCATGAGTATTGCCTGTGAGTTCTGTGTGGCCATTGCAACTGACCATGGACCCCAGCATAGATACAGAGTGGGGTGGGAGACATGGGTAGCATCACAATAGGTAAAAGAGGGTGGACCATGGAGGCATGCCTGGACCCTGGCTGGTGGCAGTGGGCCAGAGGAGGTCAGTTAGGGCCACTTCCCCCATGCAGTTCACTGCACAGAGGCTCAGCAATGCCAGGCTTACTACTTTTCCACTCATTGCTTTGCCTTGCTGCACTGTGTGTGACAGTGCACGCAGCGAGATCTTACTGCTGACAGCATGAATTCCAGGAGACCAGCAGGCAACCAGGAGCGGACAGACAGACAGAAAGCTGCAGGCAGGACACCGTGAGGCTCCCAGCAAGTGCCCAGGAGCAGGGAGGGCATTGTTGACACTGCTGTTTGCTTGTCTCTCATGATTTATGGAAAGAGGCTGGGCATCCAGGGCCCGAGCTCTGCCCACCTGTCTTGGGGAGAACATAAATTGCAGCCTCTATGGCAGTGTAAATCTTAGGCAGAGAGATACAAGAAGATACCTCGGCTGGCTGGACTGCCTGACTGCCTAGTGGGTCAGTCAAAGCAATGGGGCTGGGACTGCGGGGCTGCCCAGAACCTGCAGAAGATCAGGTGCCCGCTACCTTCCTCCTGTCTGACTCCAGGCTGGGGGCCAATAAGCCTCCTTCTTTAAACACAGGCTCCCAAATGGAGGAGGAACTAAAAGCCTGGGGGAATCACCCCAATGTCAGGGCGGCTCTGAGCAGCCCACCTCTGTAAGCACACCCACTTGCTCCAGCCAGAGCCAGAGGAAGCCAGGCCGCCAGCACCACTGCAGGGCCAGGAGGGGGGTGGGGGGGGCGGCTGGAGCTCCCAGCGGTCACGGCAATAACTGCTCAGACTAGCCAAAGCATGGGCACCACCAGCGAATGGATAAACAAACTGTGGTGTGTACACAGAGCTGCCCAGATGGGCAAATAGTGAATCAACTGCTAATGGAAAGATTGCTGGGTCAAGTCACCCCCAAGAAGTGCCCCGGAGCTGGGGGAGGCCTTCAACAAGATAGTTGCAGCCGCTTAAGTGGAGAGCAAATGTTTTGAGAATGATGAGGGCAACGAATGTACAAAGGCGCTTTACACAATTGATGTATGGATGGATTGTGATAAGAGTTGTATGAGCCCCTAATGAAGGGATTAAAAAGAAGGGGGAAAAAGATAGTTGCAGCCGTGGGCTCCAACACAGCCATGGCAGTGTGGATGGTGAGGACAATGACAGATTGGGTTGCTAACCACAAGGCCTTGTCCATTGCAGCCCCCGTGGAATGTTTTCACAGTTTTGCTCATGTGAGCGGATTGCTGCAGCCGCCCTCGGCACAGAGACAGCAGCGTGAGAGCCCCCCTGCCCAGCTGTACCTCTTCAGGGTCTCCAGCGGCTCCTTGCTGTCCATGACTCCTGTGTCAGGGTCCACGGTGGTTAGAATGCACCTAGGCACACACATACAGAGCATCACACAGGGTGGTGGGCACTGACTTGGCCCACCCCCACCCCCACCCCTGCCCTTGCAGGGACTGAGGAGGCTTACCTAGTACAGGCCATCACCCTTTTCAGCTCCACGTCCCCCACCTGAAGCTCATTCCAAGAATCCTAAGGGACAAAGCACACGAGGACATCAGGACCGCCCCGCATATGCATAAGGAACGTACTGCCCCACAGCTGTCAAGCCCTGTTTACTGGTCGCTATCCTGGAGGGCAGAGCGGATCTCCAGGGTTTCCAGGCTGCAAGCCGGATGAGAGCAGACTGCCTCATCTTTCCCCCTGCAGAGTAGTGGGTGGGTTTGAACCAGAGACTTTGGGGTTTGTCAGATTAGCCCTTAACCGCTGTAAGTGAACCCTCGCCACTTCGTGCTTCTACTTCCGCAGCTTCACTCTATCGCAGTTTTTGCGTAACTGCACCCACTGCCTACACCCGCTCCTTCAGAGGAAAAAGATGGCGACCCACCTGTAGAGTACATCCCTTAAGTCATTTCATAGGCTATTGATTACAGTATTTGTAAGAACTATGTATAATAATACTGGATGTGAAATATGTAATACTGTAAATAGATGCCATAAATAATATAATAAATAATAAATGATCATTGTAACGTCCAAAATGTTTTACTGTATTTTCCCTTTTTCGTTTAATAAATTGGGTAATATGAGTGTAATGGTGACTAAAGGGTGTTTTTTCATGTCCTCTATGCTCTAACTACGAAAATATTTGATTTACAAATAAGGAATCCTACTTCGCGGAATTTCATTTATCACGGTAGGGTCTAGAACCGATTAACCGCGATAAACGAGGGTTCACTGTACACGTCGTGTCTGCATGTGAGCTGACACCTAGTGGCACCACCACGATGCAAAGCGGCAGATCTTTCCTTTGGCCCTGAGAGGCGGGTGGAGGCCCATTCTCCCACAGGTGCCCTCTCTGTCTCAGAGGCTCCGGTGCTCCCGCCTCAGACAGCTGCTGCTTCTCCTCTTTCTTAAAAAAGGTGCTTGAAACTCACCTCCCCCCTCAGGAAGAAAACTCATGGCCGGCTCAGGGGAACCTCCTGTGTGCCAGAGTAGAATGGTGACCGTATGATCTTAGTGGCTGGCTTTGGGAAAGCAGTTTTCCAGGCCTTTCTTCTGAGGCTCCTTGGGATGAACTCTGACTGCCAAATGCTCGATTCATGGTAGCCAAATGCACTACCCAGGGGAGCTCCCCTTCAGGAAGTACTCCCCCCTCCCTTAATCCCATCTGACTCCTGGGTTGGGGAGGAGGAGGAGGATGCTGTTTAGACAGAGGGGGTTACACTGATCCCCTTTGTAGGTCCCTAGCCCAGCTGGCACAGTGGTGACAAGTTGGGTTGCTAAACACAAGGTCAGCAGTTCCAAACCACCAGCTACTCCAAGGGAAAGAGACGAGGCATCCTACTCCTAGAAAGATGGACAGTGTTGGGAACCCCCAGAGGCAGTTCTACTCTGTCCTCCAGGGTCTCTATGAACCAGAATTGACTGGGTGGCCTTGAGAACAGTGGGTGATGGGAGAGAGCTGAGGCAGCCGGCTTCCACAAAGCTGGAAACCTTAGAAACCCCTTGGGCAGTTCTATTCCTCAGGGCCACCGTGTGTCAGAACGGACTCCAGGGCAGAGGGCTCTTGTTAAACGGATCAGGTCGTCTACGTTATCTCCTATGCCTACCTGGGGTCTCCCAGCCCAACAGAGCACATAGGTACCTGAGAGCAGGGACTGGTACCTCCTATTTCTTCGGGCTCCATTAGAGCAGAGAGGAAGTCCCTGGCTGTGAACCAGAAAGCTGTGGTTCGAAACCATATGGAAACGCCTCAGCAGGAAGGCCTGGCTACCTCCTTCCAAAAGATCATGACCATGGAACAGCCTGCCCGGCAGTGCCGGAAGCACGCCAGGGAAGGGTGCCGGTGTCCCAGGCAGCTCCACGGACCATGGGCAGTGGTTGGCTTGGATTCTCTTTCAGTCCAGTCACTCCTCCGGCCTTCGTCTGGGGGCTCCGTGGGCTGCTGGTTCACTGGAACAAATCCCCCGCGCCCCTCAAACCCAGCGGGGGAGACAAGGCATGCACGTGAAGGTCAATTTCCTTTTGTAAAACTGCAGAGATCTGGGGGGAAACCATGATAAGGAAGCACACCGTGTGCCCCTCCCTTCCCCCCAGGGCTGTTCAGAATGGATGGAAACCTTCGCAGAGCTGAGCCTTCAAGGGCGGGGATTTGGGGAGGAGGGTAAGGGGCTGGCAGGCAGAGGGCTTAAATTTAAAAGCCAGACACACCTGGGCCTTCCTCCTTGCTGCCGAAGGGCTGCAGGGAAAGTAGCTGTGAATTAAAATCAGTCAAGCGAAGAGACTGTCACACTCCGAATTTTGATTGTGGCCGTGTGCACTATTTTCGAAATAGGTAGTGCAGATTTTTTTTTTTTTTTTTTTTTGTATTCATAAAATGAGCCTCTTCATTAAGCAGGACAACTCAGAAAAAAAGCCCTTTGGAGCCGCCCTCGCTTGTGCAGTGTGCATCTCTCCACCGGAGGGCGCGTTGGTCAGCAAAGGTCAAAACAACTCCAACAGGGGACCAAACTCACTGCCACCCCGTGGGTTCCCACTCAGCCACACTCTGCAAGACCGTCCCTCCTTACAGGAGTAGAAAGCCTTCTCAATTCCCCTGAGGTTGGCAGCCTCACGGGAACCCACTATGCCACCGGGGTTCCCTTGTTCACGGCAGCAGCAGCACATGGATTCTGCCTCCTGCTGAACCCATGTGGGTCAGAGGAAAACTGAGTCCGCAAGGCTTTCAGTGGCTGATGTGTTTGGAAGTAGATTGCCAGACCTTTCTTCCAAGGTACCTTGTGTGGGCTGGATCTGTCAACCTTTCCGTTCACCCTCAAGCTCCCTTAACCCTATGCACTATAAAAGCATCCAGTGGTAGAAAAGGAGAGACATGAGAGTGAATTTGGGTTAGGGAATTAGTTGGACAAACATTTCCACAGCCCCTACTATGAGCCATGGAAAGTGTCGAGGAGGGAGACACAAGAAGTGTCCCATCTGAAAGAAGTCATCGATTTGGTGGTCGCAGAAGCCCTGGGGGTGGAGTGAGTTATTCATTGGGCTGCTCACCAGAAAGTCAGCAGCTGGAAGCCCCCAATAGCTCTATGGGGTCCCCCATAGAGGTGGGGTGAGGCTGTCTGCTTCCATCATGATCTACGGCTTTGGAGGCCCTGGGGCGCATCCCTGTCCTGTGAGGTCCCCATGAGTTGGAATGGACTTGGTGGCAGAGACTGGGTTGATGGGCATTTGGAAGTACGGAGACAGTTCGATTGAAAACACATGATGGGCCTCGAACTTCATTAAACACCAAAGGGACCTGAAGAGGTCTACCTATCAGACAACAGATTCACAGTGGGACCAAGTATTCAGAAGGAGAGAGACGGAGTTCTGTTGAACACACGTGATGGGTCCTGAATGGCATTAAACACCACAGAGGAGCCTCTGAAGTCTTCAGTCCGACATGAGGAATTCCCACCAGGGCAAGTCAGGGGTGGGAGACGCACATGGGAGCACCGGGCAGCTTAGAGAAGGACAGACAGATGCTCTCTGGACTTCACAGAGGATGCAGCTTCTAAAGAAGATTGGATTTCAAATGAGCGGCCCGGAGCAAGGCTCTTGGAGAATATCAGGAGGTGGGAGAGTGTTCTAGGCCAGTGTACTGGGTGCCAGTCTCTGGGTGGCACAAGCCATTTGCCCCCAACTACTAACTCAAAGGTTGGTGGTGGAGCCTCACCCTAGCACCAGAGTGGCAGGAAAGGCCTGGCGATCTCTTCCCACAGAGATTACAACCGAGAAGACCCTGGGCGCACAGTTCAACTTTAACACACACGAGGCATTTCTGGGAGTTGGAGTCAAGTGGACAACAGGTGTGGTTTGCGTGCTTGGATTTTGCACTGGGAATGAAGGCTGGATACACAAGCCATCCCGAGGGTATGAATGGGCTTGAATATGAGAATGAGAAGGTGGGATTTTTTTTGAGAAATGGGAGCCATCAATAGTTGGAGGAAGGCAGGGACATTGATGACTCCACACAAAATTTTGGAGTGAAAGCGATCACCCCAGAGCTTCAGCAGGGAATGGGAAGAGCTGGAGGAGTGGTCTAGCAGGTGTGCAAGGCACAGGTGGGTGCCAGGCAGATGAGCCAGCTAGGACAGCGGGGAGGGGGCAGCTGGCATGGCTGGGCAGCAGGAGCAGGGGTGGGAAGCATGGTAGGGATGAGGCCATGTCGGGCCTTGTAAACCATCGCAAGGGCTCTGGGTTGTTGTTGACACTGGGTGGAAATCCACTAGAAGGTGTGGAGAAGGGTGACATGATGTGCCTGTCCACAGGCTTATTCTGAACAGGTGGGCGGGGGGTAGGCCAAGGGTGGAGACTGGGAGGCCAGTTAAGAGGCTACTGAAACAACCCAGCTGGGAGATGGTGTGAGTTGGCCTAAGGAGGCAGTTAATGCAGATGGGAAGAGAGGCCAGCTTCTAGAATAGCGGTTCTCAACCTGTGGGTCGTGACCCCTTTGGGGGTCAAACGGCCCTTTCCCAGGGGTTGCCCGATTCATAACAGTAGCAAAATGACAGTTATGAAGTAGCAACAAAAATAATTTTATGGTGGGAGGGGGTCACCATAACATGAGGAGCTGTATTAAAAGATCACGGCGTTAGGAAGGTTGAGCACCATTGCTCTAGAAGCTATCAGGCAGAGCACCAAGACTAGCAGGTTGCTTATGGGTGGAAAGTTCGAGAAGGAGAGGAAGGAGTGTGGTTCTAAGTCTGATCACTTGGTACTCAGAGCTGCCCCATCCTGAGATGGAGAGACTGGGAGGAACAGGCTTGGGGAAGAGAGTCGGTCCTCAATTTGAGACACACTCTAGTTGAGATTATACATTGAGGGGGAGCTATGGAACGGGTGCTGGCAGAGTTCTGGGGTAAAGCTATGGATTAGGGGAGCCCAGTGTATAGAAAGAGTCCCTGAGAGGTATGAATGGGTAATGTGCTAACTGAAAGGTTAATGATTTGGTTCTCTCTAGAGGCATCACAGAAGAAAGACCCGGAATGTTGTTCTCTGTTGCACATGCTTCTAGGGAGGGGGACAGCTTGGCTCTGGTTGGGGCTGGCCCTGTCGCTCAATCTTCTTAGGCAGTCCTCCTCATGGTTACCTTGCCTTTGAGGTTTAGTGTGCTGTGGTGTCACCCATATTTCTATTGTTGGTCACCTTTGGGGGGAGGGGCTGTTATACATCAATCATTGTGATCAGTTCCCCATTCCCCCTCCCCTCCTGGTATCGCCCTCCCGCCACATTCCTCTACCCTCATAATCGCTACTGGATTCCCTGTGCTGTAAGCTCTTATCTGTACCAATGTACATGCTCTAGCCTGATCAGGTCTAGCCTGATTTGTAAAGTAGAACTAGGGTCATGATGGTGGGGTGGGGGTGGGATCATTAAAGAACTAGAGGAATGTTGTTTGTTTCATCGGTGCTATACTGCAGCCTGGCTGGCTCATCCCTTCCTTGTGACCCTTCTGTGAGAGGATGTCCAATTAAGACTTTCATATCTTTAACATATCTTTTAAAATCCAATATGAGATAAAGGGACAAAGGCATTCAACTGTGTAGATCATATCAGAGGTGGCATTGAACTGGGAATTTCAGAGCACTTCGTTGTGCTCATGCAGAACCTGAACATGGGTCATTAGAACAGAAGAAAAGGATATGAGTTGTGCAAAAGTAGAAAAGGTATTTGTCAGAGTTGTATCTTTTCATTTGATGTACTCGGTCTTTATGCTGAGAAATAAATAAGCTGGGCTATATGGGGACGAACACACATCAGGATTAAGGCAAGGCTGATTGACAACCAGTGATATGTAGATGACACAATCTTGCCAGACCAAACTGAAGAACACTTAAAGCACTTACTGAGGAAGTTCAAAGACCTTCTATATAAATTATACTTGACCCTGAAAAAAAACATTCTCACAGCTGCACTGTGATAGTTAAGTTTTGTTGTGCCAAGTTGGCTGGGTCAAGATTCTAAGTAGTTTGGCAGTAATCTCCCATAATGTGACCCAACAAAATGAGATCTACTGTTAGCAGCCAGTCATTTGAAAGAAGATTAGGGTGGAATACAACCTGGTCACAGCTCCAATGCAATTGAAAGGAAGTGTCCTCAGAAGGGTGGCCTACTTCCTATATCAGTGGGCACTGTGGGAAAGCTTGTTTGATTTTTGCTGGGTCTGGATCTTACATTTGACTCATCAAACTGTTTCTTTGGCCTTGAACCAATGCCCCACTCCCTGTTCATCTCAGGAACACCAGCAGCCTGTCCTCTGACCTGCAGACCTTGGATTCACTCACCTTGCTAGTCACAAACCTGACCTGCTACTCTTGGATTCACCTGTCTCTGGAGCCACCACCTGTGGTCTTGGGTATATCAACCCCCATCAACCTCCTGAATACTTTAGTCAGGAGAAACCTCTAGCTTCACATGTGATCCATGGCCTCGGGGCCTGCCTGAATTCTGACCGGCCCGCTTCTACAAATGCGTGAGTCACACATGTATCTCTATACACATGTATATCCATATAAACATATATAAGCATCCTGGTTTTGCTTCTCTAGAGAACCCAGCATAAGATATGAACCAATAAGTAAATCAGGATAAGTCTTGGGGTGGGGGTGGGCAGGGGGGATAGATTCTCAATAACTACATTCTACTTGGATCAATTACCAATGTCTACAGAAGCAGCAATCAAGAAATCAAGCAATGTATTGCATGGGGCAAATTTACTACAAAGGACCTCTTTTTAACTATTACTTTGATGACTCAGGGGCATCTGACACAGCCATGGTATTTTTAGTCACTTGGTATGTATAAGTAAACTGGACAATAAAAATGGAAAACAGAAGAATTGATATATTAGAAATGTGGAGCTAACAAAGACTATCAAATACCCTGTTGGCTTCAGGAAGAATAAACATTTGGTTTTGTAAGAAATACAACCAGAATGTTCCTCACAAGTGAGGTTAAGGAGACTTTGACTCTCTTACTTTGGACTTGTTTAAAACCACCACCACCATAGACAAGGACATCTTATTTGGTAAGTGGGGGGCCATTGAAAATGAGAAAACCCCTCCGTAGCTACAAGCGTGGGCTGACCTAAAGCAATGGTCACGCAAATGACACAGGGCCAGGCCATGTTTTCTTCTCACGGACACCCCGAGCCGAGTGCACAACCACAGCAAGAAGAGCAGGCAAGGGCAACTCGTGTGTGGAATTACCTCTTCATAGACGCCACAGCCTGAAATGACAATATTGGGCCTGAAGCTGGTCGCTTTAACTTTCTTCTCCAGTCTGGAGTTGAGATCCGCCAAGGACGCCTCGGAGAGGATCAAGAATGGGCTGGCATCAGGGTAAGCAACCTGATCAAGAAATAAAACGTGTTGTCACAGACGGCGCACAAATGAGCACCGCAAACGCTACCTGTGTCTGGTACTTGTAAACCTGCCCTCTCACTATCCCTTTCTAAGTGCTTCTCTGGTTCTTTTTTTTTTTTTTTAAATAAGAAAGCCACCCTGGTTTAGAGCCTCAAGTCCTCTGGCAAATCGTAGGGAGTGCATGGAGGGAGTGGGGGCGGGAGTTAATGGAGAAGACAGCCTGGGAATCTTGTAGCTTCCACCAAGCACAGTGTGCCCTTGGGGAATCCAGGTCCTTTTCCTAAGCCCATGCCTTCTCAATGCTTCCTAAGATGCCTGGACTTGACCTCATTATATTTGATAAAGACCAAAGCCATTAGTGTCCGTGAAGTCTGACTCATCGCTGCCCTTTAGGGCAGAGCAGAAATGCCCTTAAAGTCGCCTCGGTTGCCAGCTTCATAGAAGAAGACTTCCACATCTTTCTCCTGAGGAGTGGCTGCTGGGTTCAGGTCTGATGAGTACGTAACCACTGCGCCACCAGGGCTCCTTACATATGTGACAGGAAAAAACAAAACCACTCACTCATGGCCACCAAGTCAATCCCGGCTCAGTGACCCCACAGGACAGGATCGAACTGCCCTGTGGATGTCTGAGAGTCTAACTCTTTGCAGGAGTAGAAAGCTCATCTTTCTCCGGAAGAGGAGATAACACTTTCAAACTGTTGACCTGTGGTTAGCAGCCCAAAGCCTCACCCGCCACACCACTTCTCACTGCCACTGAGTTAATTCTGACTCACAGCAGCCCTGTAGAACAGGGGAGAACTGCCCCTGTGCATTTCAGAGACTGTAACTCTTTGCAGGAATAGAAAGCCTCATCTTTTTTTTTTTTAACATTTTATTAGGGGCTCATACAACTGTTATCCCAATCCATACACCTATCAATTGTGTAAAGCGCATTTGTACATCATTCTCAAAACATTTTCTCTCCATTTAAACCCCCGATGTTAGGTCCTCATTTTTCCCCTCCCTCCCTGCTCCCCCCTCCCACATGAGCCCTTGATAGTTTATAAATGGCTATTTTGTCATATCTTGCCCTGTCC